TCTTCCCTACTGGTGTTTGAATTCAGAGCTTTGTGCTATATTTAGGCTGGCGGTCTGCCACTTAAGCTATGCCTCCAGTCATGCTTTTTGCTGGTTATTTTAGAGATCGAGTTGAATGACCTTTTCTGCCTAGATTGGTTTAGAATTACCATCCTCCAGATCTCTGCCTTCTGAGCAGCTAGGATTATAGGCCTGAGCCACTGTCACCTGGCTAAGTCAGTGTTTCTTAATCTTTTTAAAGTTGTTTTCTACTTGTTTCCTTGCTCTTACTTCATATTTCTGTCAGGCAAAGCAATTTCTTCCAGCCCGACTTGGTGTAGTATGCATTATGATCAGTAAATATTTGTATGTTTCTCCTGCCTACTTCTGATGTGCAGAGGACCCAGCCAAGCTTTGTGCTCTTCCAGGCCCTAGGGCCCACTGTGTGTACTGCATGGACAGCGGCTAGAGTCCCTGCCCAAGGGACCAGGGTTGAGAAGCCCTGGATAGAGCAGTGACCTGCCCAGGGCACTGACACCCTCACTTTCCTCCAGTGTGGAAGAGGAGATTCACTCCTGGGGCAGAGCTGGAAGGGAGGTGGGATGACAGAGAACCAGGCTGGAGAGTTAGTACAGGATAAGGATAAGAACATTCATGTGAAGGCTGCTTCTTCCAGCAACGCTCCTTGATCTGTTGATATTGACATTTGGGCACACAAAGCCATAGCAACTCTGAGGTTAAATATGTGACACAAATCAGGGTGTTTGTTTTGATCTTGCTTCCACATAGAGGTGCAGTGTATTAAGAAAATGAGGTTAGAGATCATGGACAGTTGACAATGCGTAAGCCCTCATGAGGGAGGGCTTCCTTCTTGTCACGGACCCTCAGCACAGTTGTTACCTTTGTTCAGAGTTCATCTTTGAGATACAATTTAAGCATATCATTCAGTCAGCCTATGTGAACAGTTTAGAAAGTTGACAGACAACATAGGGTTAGGGTGTAGGACATGGCCTCAGCCTTCTACAGAAGGCTGTGTTGGATGTTGAAATGTATTACCCATCTCACCACTGCCAGCAGCCCCGTCCTGCCAGTGCCCTCCTTCCCCTAGCACTGGAGAGTACCGGTCTGTTTCCTGCCTCTGGAGATGGGATTCAGCTTCATGTTTTGTATAGATGGGATCAGACAATGTGAACCCTTGGTTTCTGGCTTCTTTTACCCAGCTAGTGCATTGAGTTGTCTGTCAGAGTTCACTTCCTTTCATTGAGGGAGTACCATTTCAGAGTATGGACATTGCACAGATTATCTGTTTTCTTGCTGATGCCATTTTTTTTTGTTTCTAGTTTCTGATAATTAAAAAAAAAGTGTTTTGGCAACAACAAAGTGGGGTGGGAAGGTGATGAGGGGAGAGATGGGGGGGGGAGGAGATGAGAAGGGATGGGAAGGGGAAAAAAGGAGGAGGCAACAATGCTTGATAGGAAATGCACACGTTGCCTTGCCCATGTAATTGTGACCCCTCTGTATTTTCACAATAAAATACTTATTTAAAAACAAAAACATCAACCAAAAAAAGTGTTTTGGAAATGTGGATGTATATCCAAAGGCTATGTGGGTAAGTTTTATTATTCTTGGGTAAATACCTAGGGGTAAAATGGCTCTGTCAAATGATTAAGAGTATGGTAAATTTTGTAACAACGGTGCAACTTTGCTCAAAGTGGTTATGCCATTTACCCCCATCAATAATGTTTAAGAACTCCATTTGTTCTGAGTTAGAACTCCATTTTTTTCTGAAAGTTTGGTAGATAGTGCAGCATGTTCCTATGACTCCAGTTACCAATATTATCAGTCATTTATTGTGTATGCATGGTCATTTTCCAAACGACCTACTCCTTCACACTAGCTTTTACTGGTTTATTGAAGATTCGAGTCTCTCAGTTTTGACTGCCTGAATTGATTTCAGATTTTGATCCTCAGAGCTCAGCCTCCTGAGTAACTAGGATTATAGGCGTGAGCTACTAGTAAGATAACCTGTTTGATTTTGCCATTGTTTATGCCTCATAAATTCTAGGTACAAGTCTTTTGTCAGATGTATATATGACAAATAGTCTGTGACTTATCTTTTCATTTTCTTAGTTTTTTTTTCTTTTGTGTTAGTACAAAAAAGGACCTGTACTTAGTTTTTCGCTTAAGGCTGGTGCTCCAGCTTTGTTTTTATTGGCTACGCTGAGATCAGAGTCTCAAATTGTTTGCCTGGGCTATTTTCTAGCAGAGATCCTCAGACCTCAGCCTCCTTAGTGTTAGGATTACAGATATGAGCCACCAGTGCTCTTCTAGTTAATATATTTTGGAGAAAGGAAATGTTTGTTTTATGAAGTCCAATTTACTAGTTTTTTCTTCGATATGATTCATGTTTTTTATGTAGTATATAAGACATTTCTGCCTATCCTCTAGTCATGAAGTTTTAAATAGTTTTAGAAAATCTGTAGCTTTTAATGTGTAAACTTATTTACCATGCCCATTTTGAGTTAATTTGTGTATGTGAAAGAAAGTAATAAGTGGAAGGTCCATTTGTCTCCCATGGATACCTATTATTCTAGCATCATTTGCTGGAAGACTGTCTTTCCCTAGTGAAGCCCCTTGGCGATTTAGTCTGAAGTTATTTGACTACATGTATGTGGTGTTGCCTTTATGATTGTGAGAATACACTAGGAACATGAGTCTCATGTGTCTTACCTTTGAAGGTAGCTCAAGATCCTGCCTTGCTTTGGAAGTGTACCAATGGGTATTTTTTTCATATGACAGTGAGTTACTATTTTAAAATGTATAACTTCTTTATTTAAATGTCCTTTTCAAGTTTTTAGGTTTTTTATTTTACTTTTGTTTTTGTGGTACTGAGGAATTGAACCCAGGGCCTCATGTATGCTAAGCAAGCACTTTACCACAAAGCCACGTTCCCATTGCCGAGACATGACAAGTAATTATAAAACCTGACTGGATGATGGACTGCAGAGGGGGAAAATAAAGGCATATTAGTGGATGAAATGACAAGATTGGAACAGCAACAGTGGTTTACAGTTTGATACTAATGTAGCCATGAGATTGTCAGGGCAGGGTCTTGTCCCAGCCGCCCTCACTGTTGGGTGACATCGTTAGTAGGGCCACTCCTGAACTGAGTGTCTGCCTGATGGTCCCTTGGCCTCCCTGGGCTCTGGCAATTTCATGTGGTTTCTAAATCATTTTCCCACATGGTGACAGAGGACAGCAGTGGTCATTCATCGTGTCGATCTGGAGACAGGATATGGGCGTGGAGGACCTAGACTTACATTTAGTCCATCAGTAGAAGCAGATGCTCAGAGGTCCATGGTGTCTGGGTAACATGGGTACCAGAAGACCCCGTTTCCAGGAAAGAGATTGGCAGCAGCCTATATTCTCTCACGCACCTGCATTTGGAGCTTTAAGGACTAGGAGAGTGTATGAAGGAGGACTGACAGGCACTTCTAGTAGTGGAGAGCCTTCAGCAGGTGCGTTGAAGCTATCTGTTGCCAGGTAGGCGCTGGGTGGGAGGAGCCGCTTAGAGGGCTAGTCCTGTCCATCATGGCTTCTTGGACTAGCTGAGGGAAACTCCAAGGGACCAGTCAGGTTCCAGCTTCCAGAATCCTCCCTGCCATAGAGGCCAGGAAGGTTCGTCTCAGAACTAGCCCCTCCTGAAGGCCAAGCCCAGGTCTCCTTTAAAGGAAAAAATTGGATGAGACCACTGCTAACCACTTGTTAGTGGTTGTTTCCCCTGGCACCGGACTCTTGAGAGCTTTAGCCCATGACAGTCCCCTTCAGCTCAGTGACTGGAGCAGGCAGGGCTTGTTGTAGGGTTCTCAGATCTCTGGTGGCTTCTGATGGCCCTACTCCTTCCTTGCTACTCCTGCCTAGTCCTGCATCTGGGGCTGAGGCCTGCACAGCTGTTGCAGGAGCCCTTGGGGAGGGTCCTTGTGTCCAGCCCAGTGTGTCTTTCCTGAGGGCAGCAGTGCACAGGCTGGGCCTTTCCCCAAATCCTGGATCTATAGCTTATGCTCCCAGGGGAGCCAAGTATTCTCTCTGCTCCCTTGTGATCCCTCCTTCCCCATAGACTGGTGGGGGCTTGCTGCCTGGGAGGGTGAAGACTGCACGCAGGGCTGCAGACCCTCAAGACTTCTGGAAAGGTAGGCATGTTCAGGGCTTGAGGACTGCAGAGGAGGCTCCTCAGCTCCTTGGAGAGTGATTTTTACATTGTTTTTCTCAGATGGCTTTTGCTGTTAGAATGAGAATGATGTCTTTTTTTTTTTTTTTCTTTGGTCAGTCGTGGGGCTTGAACTCTGGGCCTGGGTGTTGTCCCTCAGCTCTTCAGCTCAAGGCTAGCGCTCTACCACTTTGAGCCACAGTGCCACTTCTGGTTTTCTGGTCGTTTATTGGAGATAAGAGTCTCATGAATTTTCCTGCCTGTCCTGGCTTTGAACCTTGTTTCTCAACTCTCAGCCTCCTGAGTAGGATTACAGGTGTGAGCTACCAACGGTTGCAGATTTTCATTGTTTTAAATGGCTCCAGTAGCCTGCGAGAATGCAGCGTTCTTCAGCATCTAGTGGGTGATTTAATGTCATTCGAGTGGCCACATGGCAGAAATGTTCCAGGTGAGGCAGGCAGAGGCGTGGCTTGTCTGAAAATATTTCTCCAGGCATTTGGGGTAAAGGCTTTATTCCGGTAATTATTAAGGCAAAACATGTTGAAGGTTCATGCTAGTTTGGTCTGTCTGTTGCAGCTTGCTCAGTGTGTTTAGGCTTTTGATCAACTTCGTAAGGGCGCTGCCCAGCCCAGGGGAGTGGTGGGGGCAGTGGTTTTGGTTTCACTCCGTGGTCACTGAAGAAAAATGACAGAGCCTGCACTTTTCTATTGCATTAGCTACTTCAGTCAATCACACAGTGGCTGGATGGCTGGATATGAGAATTCTGTTGTGAGACCACCTTGGGCCAAGGCTACCCTCCACTTCTGTTTTGTAGAATGTCGTTCTTTCGGGAGGCTCAACAATGTTCAGGGATTTTGGACGTCGACTGCAGAGAGATCTAAAGAGAGTGGTGGATGCCAGGCTGAAGCTGAGTGAGGAGCTCAGTGGCGGCAGGATCAAGGTAGGAGGTTGGGTCCCGGCCTGGGTCAGCTCTCAGGAGGCAGCATCCAGTAACCATGGTGTGCACCGCTAAGGTCTGCTCCTGGCTTGTTCCCGACCACCCCTGTGCTGCAGCGCCGGTGTCATGCTGTCCCAGTGCATGTGCCTGTCATCTTCTGGGTTGTAAGGGACAAGGCATGCTGTGACCAGGGGCCATGAGACCAAACTGTTATATCCCCAGGAGTGGGGAGATTCAGTGTGTTCCTCCAACGAATTGTCGAAGGGCTTCTCACCATGATTGGCTTTGGGAAGGGAAGTGGGAATGACACAGGCCCACTGACTGTCTGTGGGAAAGGACAGTTCTTTTAGTGTTACACAGTCAGATTCCTGTGGTCATGAGGTTGGGTTAGAGGCTTGGAGCTGTATTCACAGTAAATAAATGACCTCTGCTGGCCAGGTTTGCTCTGTCCCTCATCTAGAATGCTGGAGAGTGGTTGGTGCCACTGCAGGGCAACTTGACTGAGGGCGAGGAAGGGCCTATACCCTTAAGGTGGAGGGGAGGGAGGCATGAAAGAAAGCCTTTGTATTGTCAATGAGGGCTGTCAGTAGAAGGGATTAATTGCTCGGACTAGAATTGCTCTGTTTTCCAGCCAAAGCCTGTGGAGGTTCAGGTGATCACACATCATATGCAGCGCTATGCCGTGTGGTTTGGAGGTTCCATGCTTGCCTCAACTGTAAGTCCCTTTCTAGCTGATTCTGTTTTTATTTTTGCATTTTCTGCTGAGTTTAGATAAACATTGTCCATGAAAGTTAATAGTGCTTGTTCTGCTTGTGTGGCTTTAAACAGACACACATTTAATTCCATCCCATAGAATCACTTAACAATCACTTAAATTGCACAGGTAACTCATAAGTATCCTTGCTAATTAGGTGTAACCCTAACCATAGGTAAGTGAAATCCAAAAGTAATTTAAGAACCCTGAATAGTCATTAATCCCAGAGACTTCTCCAATAATTACCGCTTTTATCACTCAAATCTGTGCATAGCTAATTCATTCTTAATTTAGGGTCAGCGCCTATTTGGTCCTAAAATGCAGTCTGAGTACATTTCTTTTAAAAATTTTTTTCTATTCTCATTATAAAGGTGATGTACAGAGGGGTTATAGTTCATAAGTCACATAGAATATTTCTTAAGGGTTTTTTTTTTTTTCTTTTTTGGTCGGTCGTGGGGCTTGAACTCTGGGTTTGGGCACTGTCCCTCAGCTCTTCAGCTCAAGGTAGCGCTCTACCACTTGAGCCACAACGCTACTTCCAGTCTTTTCTGTGATCAATTGGAGATAAGAATCTCATGGGCAGCCGGGCAGCTGGGGGCCAGTGGCTCACGCCTGAAATCCTAGCTACTCAGGAGGAGGTTGAGATCTGAGGATACCGTTCAAAGCCAGCCTGGGCAGGAAAGTCCGTGAGACTCTTATCGCCAATAAACCACTAGAAAACCGGAAGTGGCGCTGTGGCTCAAGAGGTAGAGCACTTGCCTTGAGCTGAAGAGCACAGGGACAGCGCCCAAGCCCAGAGTTCAAGCCCCACGACTGACCAAAAAAAAAAAAAAAATTGAATCTCACAGACTTTCTTGCCTAGGCTGGCTAGAAACTGCAATCTTCAGATCTCAGCCTCCTGAGTAGCTAGGATTTCAGGCATGAGCCACCAGCACCTGGTTTACATTTCTTTTTTAAAATGAAATAAACTCCTGTTTGGTACATCAGAGAGGTCAATGCCCTATTCCGGTGGTGTGGAGGACAGGGTGGGGTCTGGGTGGGGACAGTCTCTCCCCCCTAGCAGTTGATTTCATGTTTCCTCTGAGTGCTTCTGTTTCTGTCTGCCTCTGCCTCCCCAGCCGGAGTTCTTCCAGGTCTGTCACACCAAGAGGGACTATGAAGAGTATGGCCCCAGCATCTGCCGCCACAACCCTGTCTTTGGAGTCATGTCGTAGTGTCACTCAGCAGTGTTGTGCTGGGAACAAGTGTCCTTCAGAGCCCAGACGAGTGTGGCTCTGTGCCCCCTGAGCACGGTGCCCATTGCATGGGGTCAGCGCAGCCTTCCTGTAAAGCCATGTCTACTTGCGGCTGTGCTGTGCCCACCTCCTGCCCATCTCCCCCTCCAGCTTCTCATTCACAAATAAGTCGAAGGAGTCCAAATACCACTTCGTGAATCGTTAGGGGAAAAAAAGACCCAAAATAGTTCACCCCAGGGCAGATGTGGGTGGGAGCGCTCATCCTCCCAGCCTATTTTTGTAAATAAAATGTTATAAACTTGAAGTACAAATGGATGTTTATATTTCCTATCATTTTGTATATTATGGTATTGGTACAGCTGGCTGACACTAAGCCTGGGTAGATGTTGATGTGATGGAGTGCTGTAATCGAGTTTTCTTTGTGAGGCATGTTCTGATGTGTATATAGGCAAACAAAATAAAACAGCAAACTTTTTGCCACATGTTTGCTAGGAAATTGTACTTTATTAGAGTGACAAAAATCTGAACACTAAACGGTATTGTATGAGATTATTATAGATAATGTGTCTCTTTTTTTTTTTTTGTTTGAGCTGTCTGAACTATTTTATAGAAGATGATGGTTTGATGTTGGTGAGTGCTGTATGAAATGCTAACTTGCACTGGTGTAATAAAAGCAGTTAGAATCTTTGTAAATTTCTTCCTGATGAGTGTGGTGCTCTTTTGGTCTCTTTACATATTGTTTTCTTTATGGTACTGGGGTTGAGCTCAGGACCTTTCGCTTGCTAGGTGTATGCCCTACCATGTGAGCCACACTTCTAGCCTTTTTTGCTTTCATTATTTTTTTTTATTTTTTTTATTTTTTTGGGTCCGGTCGTGGGGCCTGAACTCTGGGCCTGGGCGCTGCCCCTCAGCTCTTCAGCTCAAGGCTAGTGCTCTACCACTTGAGCCACAGCGCCACTTCGGGCTTTTTGCTTATGTGGTATTGAGGAATTGAACCCAGGGCTTCGAGCATGCAAGGCAAGCGCTCTATCACTGAGCCACCTCCCCAGCCCTGCTTTCATTATTTTTAAGTAGGATTGTAATTTTTTGGGCTGGGAAGGTGGCTCAGTGTTAGAGTGCTTGCCTTGCAAGCCAGAGGCCCTGGGTTCGATTCCTCAGCACCACATAAGCAAAAAGCAAAAAGCCGGAAGTGGCGCTATGGCTCAAGTGGTAGAGAGCTAGCCTTGAGCTGAAGAGCTGAGGGACAGCACCCAGGCCCAGAGTTCAGGCCTCACGTCCGGACCCCCCCCCCAAAAAAAAAGAAATGAAAATATGTAATTTTTTTTTTCTCTGAGACATCTGGCACCGTTAGTTTCCTGTTTTTGTTCCCCATGTGGCTGGGATGACAAGCGCATGCCACTATTCCCAGCTTTTTATTGGTTGAGAAGGGGCTTTCAAGAACTTTTTTCCAGGGCTGGCCTTGAACTTAGAACCTCCCCATTCTCACCTGCCAAGTAGCTGGGGTTACAGGCATGAGTCAGTGCCTTTTGTCACTTCTTAAGCTTACCTGTGATACTCCTTTTAAGTGATAAAGTTTTATTCCCAATAAAGTTTGCCTTCAGAACATTTTTTTGAGGTGGGCTGAATACTGGGGCATGCACTCAGGGCCTTAAGCTTACTAGGCTGGTGCTCTACCACTCAAGGCTGGCACCATTTGGTGTAGTGTTTCAAGTTTAGAAACATTGGACAGTACTAAACCTAGCAGTCAGTCCTCTCTTACCTGCAGTTTTGATTTCTTCCACAGTCAACTGGAGTCTGAAAATACTAAATGGAAAATTCCAGAGATGAACACCATACTTACCTACTTACTACTATACCTGTAGTATATTGTTACAACTGTTGAATTTTACTATTATTGTTGTTAATCTCTTACTGTGCCTAGTTTATAAATTAAACTTTATCATAGGTGTTTTTGTCACTATAATGAAATATTTGAGGCAGGCTGCTTAGAAGTTCATTTAGTTCACAGGTTTGGAATCTCAGACATGTCACTTTCTGCTCTGCAAGGGCTCTCAGCTTCTTGGGGGAAGCACATGTGGGCACATCTGGATACAGGATGCCAGCTGGGTATAGGGCAGGCCCAGGCTTTTATAACTGATCTCTAGAATGACCTTAACTCCCTCCTTGGGCTGTGCCTCTTAACTCCCTGCCAGTACTGGTATCCTGCTTGTGGGGGACAGGACACATCAAAACCACAGCAGCAGGCATGTGTAAAGAAGCAAGGACATTGTATGTGTAGAAAGGCACTGTTTGTGCTTTCAGACATCCATCTCAGAATGTTCTGGCATCTGAGATGTTTTGGGGCTGTGAAATCGAGGTTTCTAAGCCCTGGATGGTGGTGGTTCTCTGATGCCAACGTTGGCAGGTGCCATTAGACTGCGGTCTGCCCACCACTGCCTCGGTCCTGCATCCAAGCACTATGTTCCCTCTCTCGGGTTTGCACCTTGGACATCTCAGTTTTTAGCACTTTGGTTTTTTTTGTAATCTTCCAGCTGTTTGACTGGATCATGTCCCTAGTTGGTCTGCCCCAGTGGGTCACAGTGGGTTGTGTACATGGGGGCAGGGGTGGCTACTTCCACACCATTTTCATGAGTTCAAGCCATTCAGGAGCCCTTGGGCCGCCCCTGAAACTCCTGCCCATCCTAGCCAGGCTTTAAAGAAAAAAAATCCTGTGCTACGTGTGCTGCTTGTGCTGCGTGTGCTACACGCACATCCGTGCGGCCTCCCTCCGCTGGGGCCTGCACGGGCAGGCTCACAGGAAATGCTCCCTCGGCGGAGGAAGGACTTGAGGAAATCTCCAGGACACAGCAGCCGTTTACCCTACACCCTCCCTTTGTGAGTGAGGAGCTCTTTTGGGACTGAGGTAAGACCGGTTTGTGACCCACTCATCCTTCCTGATCCTTCCATGCCAGCTTATTCGTAAAAGCTACGATTGTGCCAAACAAGTGTGTGAGGTTAACCAAGGGCACAGCTTATTTCAAACCACAGGAGAGTCCTGTTAAATAATATCTGTTAAATAATTCTCCACTCAATTAAAGGACATTTCATAATGCTTCTTTTAAAAATAATGGTCATGCTTGTTAAAAATATAAATTGATGGGCAAAATAATTGCCTGGGCTCTAATTGGCAATTACATCAATTTCATGTGGTTGTGTGGAAATAAATCTTTTTTTTGGGGGGGTGGGTCCGGTTGTGGGACCTGAACTCTGGGCCTGGGCGCTGTCCCTCAGCTCTTCAGCTCAAGGCTAGTGCTCTACCACTTGAGCCACAGCGCCACTTCCAGCTTTTTTTTTTT